CCCGGCGGCCCCCCCCCTCCCCTCCATCCCTGGCACCCCCGGCTCCCCTCACTCAGACACCCGGCCCGTTTCTCCTCCTCTCCGAAGGGCGAGGGCAGCCGGGGAGATGCCAGGAGGGAGGGTTCAGCTCAGCACCCGCTGCTGTAGCCCTGGAATCAGCGACAGGAGCGGGGAGCCGGTCCCTGGGCCGTGGGGGGCTGCCTCTGAGGAGCAGAGCTGCTCCCTGGAGCCGTCCTGTCCCTTCAGCCCCCGCAGGCAGCAGGACACACGGCGTCTCTCCCCATCACACCCCGCTTTCCCCCCTGCATCAGTGCCCGGGGGTTGCCTGGGTCCCCTCGCTGTGCTCACCACCACCCCCCTCCAGCCTTTATCTCCGTCTCTGGGGACTGTCCCCTCCACCTGGACGAGATCCGCCACTTTCTGAACCTGTGCCCGGAGCTCTCCCTCGGCTGGTTTGAGGAAGGGCGGCTCGTGGCGTTCATCATCGGCTCCCTCTGGGACCAGGACAGGCTCAGCCAGGTAAGAGCCAGACCCCGGTCTTCCCAGCCCGGGTGCTGGGAAAGGCACTGCCGGAGCCTGGGGACGAGAGGAGCTCCCAGGGCCCCGAGGCCACTCACCAATCTTCTCCCAAGACTAACGGCTTGAGGGCTGCTCTGGTGGAAATGAACTTTCTCATTAATTAATTTTACTGATGCTGTTAAAAAATACGCTCAGTAATTCCCCACACCATTCATTTTAAAATTAAAAACCCTACAGGGACGATGTGGGGAGGGGAAGGGGGAGGGCACCGGGACCCTTCTCCCTTTGGGAGAGGACGCGGACCCTGGTTCATGGGGTGGGGAACCAAGACACGGGCAGGCTGGGCCCCCCAGCCACGCTGACGCCTGTTCCCCCCATGGCAGGCGGCGCTGACCCTGCACAAGCCACGGGGCACGGCGGTGCACATCCACGTGCTGGCCGTGCACCGCACCTTCCGGCAGCAGGGCAAGGGCTCCATCCTCATGTGGCGGTACCTGCAGTACCTGCGGTGCCTGCCCTTCGCCCGGCGCGCCCTGCTCATGTGCGAAGATTTCCTCGTGCCCTTCTACCAGAAGTGCGGGTTCGAGGCGCTGGGTCCCTGCGAGGTGACGGTGGGGGAGCTGGCCTTCATCGAGATGCAGCATCCCGTGCGGGGACACGCCTTCATGCGCAGGAACAGCGGGTGCTGAGCCCCCGCCGGTCCAGCCCTGCCGGGGGGCTGGAGAGAGGCTGCGACCCCTTTCCATCCCCACCCCAGCTACACATCTCCCCCGGCTGGCCCTGGCTACAGCTGCTCCCTCTGCCACATCTGCCTTCCAGCCGGGAGATCGGCCCCGTCCCATCCCAGCACCGCAGGGCTGGGGACAAAAAGATCTCCCCCCCGGCCCTGCTGGAAGCACCGACCCCTCGGTCTCTGCTTTAGCCGGGGCTGTGCCGGCAAGCCTGGCCGGGCTGGAGGGCCGCGTGCCCACCGGGACGGGCGGGCTTTGCTCTAGGAGCAGCTGCGGGGCTCCGCTGATTTAAGGGCGCTGACAGCCACGGTTTGCTGAAACACCCAGCGGAGCCCGTACGTGCACGGGCCCCCAGCCCTGCACCCCCTCCCACCCCCAGCGACACCAACCCCGGCCACACCACCCCTGA